TCGTTTATTTTCCTCCAGCACTAAATGCCCATTGTTGTGCCACAGTTTTTCTTTTTTCTCAACCAAAAATTCTTTGTAATGTCGAAAGTTGTGTTCTTTGTGCTGCCTCACCCTTCCTCCCCCTCCCTTCTCCCCCTGTGAGTGGTTGATGGGTGCTCTGGTGTGGTTTGCTCCTTCTTTCCTCTCAAACATGTATTGTCCTTATCTCTCTTCTTTCTTCTTTAGTATATGTTACTCTCTTGTAACACCTCTAATTTTGATTCTTGTATGACCTGATTGTGTTGCAAGTGCTGTAAAAGGCTTAAAACAAAGAAATCTCTCCCCTCCCCTCCCCTCTCCCCCCCTCCATCCGCAGATGTGTCGATCCAGGCTCCAGATGTACTTGACCTTTCCTCCCTGAGAGGTCGCGGTCTGCAGGCTGGGGAGGAAGAGCTGCCCCCAGGGGATTCCCCGCCAGGTAAATCTCCAGCTGACAGACCAGGTGGAAAACAAATTATTGAACTAGTTTGGCAAAATGTCCAGGTGGCAAGGCTACGCAAAACACACAAATCGTCTGCAAGCTGTTCAAATGTTTCTCTTTATTAACTTTGGCACTTATATGACCTTATTGTATTGCAAATGCCGTAAAACTCTTACTAAATCTAAACTCTAATCTTCAGCACTTATAAGACCTTATTATGTTGCAAGTGCCATAAAACTCTAACTAAAACTAATCTTCAACATTTATATGACCTTATTCTGTGTTGCAAATGGTGTTAAACTCTCACAAAAACCAAACAAAATCTCTACCATGGACCATTTCATGACTCCGCAGAAGCCCCGGTGGAGATCCAGGAAGGCACGGTGACCCAGCTGGTGGACATGGGGTTCCCACGCGAGGCGTGTCGCAAAGCCGTGTACTTCACCAACAACACAGGCGTGGAGGCAGCCATGAACTGGGTCATGGAACATATGGACGACCCAGGTGAGTGGGGCAGAGGGAGAGAGAGGGGGGGGGGAGGAGGGGGGTATGAGGGTGACACTCGTATTTGTGGATGTTGGTTGGGAGAGTGGGCGGTTGGAGGGTGATGCTGGTATTTGCAAGTGGTTGGAGAGTGCCACTGGTAGGTATAAAGTGAGTTGTTGAACGGTGACCGTAGTATTTTTTTGCAAGTGGTTAACGGGTGCCACTGATCTTTCCCTCTGTTATTTGTCTCTTTTTTTTTCTCCATACTCATTATGGCAGTTATTGTGTGTTGAGCGCTTCATCAGGTACTTGCACTGTATACTTCATGGGAAACCGAGAATGTTTCTGAGTGTTCTCAGGTCTGCTGGGGTAATAATATGAATTGTTGTTGTTATGGCATTGTGGACTGTCTGCCCACCCTGAGAAGAGGCCATTCATGTTGAGGATAGGAGGGTACTAGGAGTTTTCATGAGACTGGAAAGACCTAACTGCCCTG